AATCCCCCCATTTTTTTTTTTTTTTTTTTTTGTCTTTTTCCGTGTCCGGCAACGGATCGCAACCCTCAGTGTCGCCCCCGCACCGGACCGGGACCGGCAACGGGACCACAACCCTCGGTGTTGCTCCCGCGCCTCACTCAGCCAGTGAGCGGGAACTGGTCTGCATGTGGGATCCGAACCCTTGGGCGGGAGCGCCGCCGCACCTCCCAAGCGGCGCACTATCCAGTGCGCCACCGGGCCGGCCCAATATCACCACATTTTTGACTGGCAATTTTCAAAGATTCTGAATGGCTTCTGTTTATCAAATCAAGTGGCTTCTCCAAGAGCTCAACTAAGCTCACATTCTGTAACACGTGACTGAATCCATCACCTGCCTCTTCTTGTCTCTACTTTTGAGAGGTACGACTAGTTTTCTCATTTTTCTGATCATTTCTTCTTTGGCTTTTTATCCTCTTTTAGCACCATAAATATATTTTCCAGTGCTTATCCTGAACTACGTTTTTCTTTAATCCACATTACTTTCAGTATTTGAGACATCTTACAACCCTCCCCCCCAACCACAAAGGACCCATTGTAGGGGTTTAAAATGTACACTCAGCTCAAAGGTACAACAAAAAGATGTGTTTTACTTTCTATTATTAAATTCAAATTTCATTCAAATCCTGCATTCTCACCTGTTACGAAGAAAAAAATCTTGCCAACTAAAATAACTCAGTGTCTTTAAGCTCGAAGAAAAACTTTCAGGGACATATTCAGTTACTTTAGAGTCAAAACCCACCTCACTCAGGAAGCCTCCTGGCTTCTTTCCCCAGAGGTCATGTGGATATTAAGAGAAGCCCCTGTGTCCTTCTGGCAATTGGGAGGAGCATCAGGTCTCCTGCTGTTGGACTGGTCCTAACCACCTTCTACTGCAGCCCTGCAAAGCAGGCCCTTCCACCCCAGGGTTCAGGTCCCTGCTCAGCCAAGTCCTCATCCTGGCCTCAGTTTATTTCACCATTCTTCTGGGATATGCAGATTTTCTGGACCTTTTTGGGTTATGGGGAGACCAGAGGTGCCAGCTCAGCTCCATCCATCATCCTTTGATCATTTTTTAGCTATTAGTGCCATGTTGTTTCAATTCCACAGAGGCTTGAAATTTTCTAAAACTGTGTTCCAAGAAGCAAGAAGTGAGCCTGCTTTATTCTGGGCCCCAAGATTCTCTGGGTTTCTACTACATCTTGCTTCTCTCACCCCTAGGACTTTTTGTTACACATTGGGAGCCAGGACACTTGAGTGTTGATCCTTACCTTTATCTTCTTCTCAGCCTAGGAAGGATATTCAACTGCCTATTCTGACTGACTGGAATACACATGTAGTACTGTACTGCTCCTTCCCTAAGGAGATTGCTCTTCCCCTTTCGGGAGGATAAAAAGCCTCATGGAAAAAGAGCCGGATTGCCAAGATAGGAAAACATATCAGGAAGTGTTTCATCAAATCTAAGGCACCATTGATGGTAACCTGCACCATTCACTGTTAAAACACATTTCAATTTGGGAGATGTTAAAATGTGAAAAAAATGTGCATCTTGGAACTCATGAAATATGTAGTATTCCAAAAATATTACACAAGCTCCTCAAACACCAAAACTTGGGAGTGTGGGGGGGGGAGGGCAATTTTAAAGATAGGGCACAATAGAATTATTTTATCAGAAAACCTAAAATGCAGTTCTGCATTTGGGTTTCAAATTTAGCAATAAGCTTCCTGGAAAGCAATTCAAAAAGGGAAAGAAAGCATCTTTCACTATCTAGCCAGAGAATCTTCTTTCTATGTCTTCCCTTCAACTTGTACTTCTCTGTATATAATTCTCAACTCTATAACTTTAGCCAAGCTCTGGTTCTTCCTTTCAGATTGACAAGAGTCAAATAAATGACCTATGTGCACATTGTATGTAATTAGTACAAAATAGAGGCCCTTCCTCCATCTGTCCTCACTATTTTTTTAATAGTCCGTAACCAGTGCTAAACCTTGGGGCTATCTTTTTCTGTTCCATCTCATTTACTCCTGCACTCAATCTGTTGATAAAACTTATGAATTCTACCCTATCTCAGAAGCTTCTCTCTCCTCCCTTACAACTTCTCTCATTCCTTTACATCCAGAATTTTAAACTTCCTGTTCAATTTCTTTGCCCTTCAAATCCTTTCTACAACCAGATTAATCTCCCCAAGTGACGGCTCTAACCATATCACCATTCTGCTTGTAAATATGGAATCCCTATCCACTAGCTAAACAAGAGTGTTGAAATTACTGACAGCAGCATTCAGTTTCTGGCCTCAACCTGCCTTCTCACCCAGCCAATCTGAATTTATCACTATTCTCTGTTCACCTGCACGTAGCCCACGTCTTTTCTAGCCATATTACGTAGTGGTGTCCATCAGTCCTTAAACCAACTTCCCAAAATGCCACCTCCAAAAAACTCTCTAGTTCTCCTAAGCAAGAGATAATCTTCCCTTCTTAATTTGTCCATTTATACTTTAAAAACTATTTAAGCATAAGATTTTCTCACCAGTCCAGACAAATTTCTTTTCAGGCTTTGTTCATTTGCTTTTTAAAAAACAAGTAGTCAGTAACTACCAAATGACTATATTATTTTCTGCGAGGTAAAAGGAAGGAATTGTAACTGTCTGTGTGGTCCCTTGGGCAGGAAATGTCTTTAAAAACCTGAATGAAAGGCTAAAATAAGCTGTTTTTCTGTGTCTTCTCAATTCCAAGAAAAACAATTTTTCTTGATGCTTATTGTTAGTATCCTTTTAAAATAGTACAACTATCACAATGGCCCTCAGGCACTTAACAGTGTGGACATATCAGCCTTAAGAGTGATTGTGGAGAGAGATGAGGGATTACCTGTATTATTTCATTGTTGAGGTTATTTTACGGATGCCT